CGGAACGTGTGCTCCGCTGCCTCCAACTTCTCCCGAATCCCGCGGGTGAGTCCCGGCAGAGCCAGCTGGCACCAGGGAGAAGGGTCGGCAGGGCGCGAGTGCCCGGGGCGGTGGGAGCCCGGGGGACTGGCCCCCGAGGGCAGAAGGCGACGCAGGGAGCGGCTGCGGGACCCGCGGCTCGAGCGCCCGGGACCTGTCGGCCTTGGGCGCGGGAGGCGTGCCTCGGGCAGGGACCCAAGGGCGCCCTGAAGAGTGAGCAAAGGGGCAAAGGGTGTCTTTGCCATCTGGAGGAGGGCTCTGTTCGGAACAGATACCAGGTCGTCTCCTCGGGTTCATTTCCTTCGCTCCCTGCAGCCTTTGCCTCCCAGAGTTGGGTTTGGGTACGGGGATTGGCGCCTCCAAGTATCTGCGGGGCGATTTGGGAGCTGGGAATTCCTGTGGTGGAGACGCCGATTATTTGTTTATTTTTGAAAGCAAGGTTTGTTTTCATTTTGGTTTCGGTTGGATCTTCCCCTCATTGGGAACTCACTTTTCTGTTTTTACTTTTCTTCACCTGAAGCTCTGTTCAGCCCCCACCTCTTCAAGCTTGCTTTGAGCCTTAGTTTCCTGTTAAGTAATTTAGGCTGAATCCTCAGATCACAGGAGGGTTGGTTGGCGGGGGAGGTGGAGGCAGTTCTTGTGTAGATTTCAACTTCCAAGAAAGACTTTGATTTTCTTAATTGGTCTCAGACTACTTATATGATTTGAAGGTAGAGGGTTTTTTTGCAAGGGAACATCCCTCTAGTTTCTCTATCGTCTACTTCTCCTCTCATATATGATTCAAATGGGAATTTTATTCAACTGAGAACTAGTCCCAGACTTGCCGTGTCAGCATTTGTGTGAGCTGCTAATGGGCAAACGGGCGTCGCAGGCGTGTAACATACTAACCCCTCTTGCGTTATTACTGGGTTCCAGCACTTAAAAAGGAAAAAGAATTGCCCAGTAGTTTGTGACCTCCATGGCTGGTTGCATTTGCGTGTACAGCAGCATTACACATGGGAGTGAGTTGGTGAGACGTTGTGCCAGAACTCCTATTTCAGGCCCAGGAAAGCTAGTAGCCGGAGGAAACAAGGAGATGATTTCTCCTGTGAGCCTGCTTCCTTGGCTTCTGTGACTGTCATCTAAATACTGAACCTGTTTCTCCTCTTCCAATACCTCCGTTTCCATGATACAAACTGTAATTGCATAGCACAGCCACAGGGACTTGGAGAAATAAGGTAATGTAGTAAGGTGCAGTAAAGATGGAAATTGCTTAGGCTTATAGACTTCTCTTTAACAAACCATTTATCCTCCAGGTTCCCTGATTTGACTGTCTGATAAGTGATATGTTTATACTCAACTGGCGTAAGGATTGCTGCTTTACATTGCTTTGAAATTCAGCTCACACTTCAGCCAGACAATCATTTATTCTTTCAGTGATGCTGCCAAACTGCAGTTTGCAGGGGACTTTTGTGGGGTCAGACCTCACAATTCACTTGGATCTCCCTCTGAGGAAGTGTCTACTTTGTGGGTTTAAGCTTTCCAACACATTTGCAATCGAAGGGAAATGTTTTTAAGGATGTGAGTATTATTTTCACAGATTCTGCTCTAAGGGAGACCAGAAATATCAACTTTGTAGGGTTTTTGTATCTTTAGATTGAATTGCTACTTCTCTCCACCCACCCCCACACCCCCATCTCCAACATGGAGTTGGGTTGTGTGTGGTTGAGTTGAGCTAGTCTGGTCTATGCTGAGGTTCGAGATTCGGACCCCAGTTTTCTTTAAGAAAATAGTAAGTCCATCAAAATCAACTGAAAATGAATGGTAAAGTTAACAAGGAGCTGATGCTTGCCTATTTCTGCCTTTGCTCACTGCGGTTGAAAAGTGCCACTGGGGAGGTAAAGATGTTGACGAATTTACAAAGCTTAGGAGACAGTCTGCAGGTTAATTCAGAGATGATGTTCTGTTGATGCAAGTGAAGGAATTAAGGCTTCAGTCAACCGCCTTACTTTCCTCTTCACTGTATCTGCAGCCTTAGGTGCAAACATATTAAGAACACCAGCTCCAAGGGTCAGAAGGAGACACCAAGGGAAAGTTCCCTGTCAAAGAGATGTCTTCGGAAAGCCTGGTGGTGCTAAGGAATAGCACCTGGGCTGAACTCCCTGACAGCCCTGGTTCTCTGAATGAAGTTTTACTTCAACAAACTGGTTGCTGTTTCTCAGAGAGAGATCCAAACAGAAAAATGGGTCATTTTATAGCAAGAAAGCGTGTCTCTAGATTGTCTTCTGAAATCTTAGAGCAAAGGAAGGGTTACTGAAGAAGGGAAAAAACACTTGAGCAAATATGATATTCAGATGTTCCTTAAGTCAGTCTTGACTTACTCAAGGGTGAATATACTCTTTTATTTATTTATTTACCTCCTTGGGTCAGAGTTCATTTCTTTACCTTGCCTTCAATCGGAATCGACTCGGTGGCAGGGAGTTTGGGCTTGGGTTCTGTACACTGTGCAGATATTCAACTTGTTCTCATCCGTTTGTTGCCTAACCACCATCTCTGCAGTGGGCATCTCTAGTAAAATAGTACTAAAATCAATGCCATTCCATAAAATAACCTTTAGGCTATGAGAATCAGCCAGCCAGCATGAGTTACATAACCATTAAGTAAGACATTTTAACACTCAGGTACATTACATTCCACTTTTATTGAACTAACAGGGTTTTCATTGTCTCATAAAATATTTTTATTTGATAGTCTGTCCTTAGTTATAGCCTCGTGTAATCAAGGGGAGAGCATGTTTAAGACTTTGGATCTAGAACTTTAAAGTCCAGTTGTGGTTCATTTATTAATAACTCACTGGGGAGGTCAAATTCCTAGTTACTTGCAAGATTCCCAGTCCACATTTCGAATGTGGAATTTGTTTGTGATTTGCTCCCTTCCCCAGTTTTCACAAATGCATGCTCAGGGAATTCGGTGTAGTCAAGCAAGATGTTCCAATAGAAGAGCCTTTTGGAGAAGTTCACTTCATCTGGAAAGGAACTTATTCTGATTCGGATGTATCCAGATGTCTGTAACTCACTGGTTTAAGTGCTTCGCTTTCCTTCATGCATCAAGAATGAATAGAGAATGGCCAATAAAGAATCGCTAGACCTTTAAAAGAAGCATAATGACATTTAATATTTAGACTTGCATCTACTTAATTTTCAGCCAAACTTGCACAAGGAGATGCAAAGTAACTTTTTCCGCCTGATGATACTTTTTTATTTCATACAGTGATCCAATGCCAGCCCTATCAAGCACATTTAGCAGTTGTATAGCCTGTCATAAGTCACCGGACTTCTGTGCTCCCTGGGTTCCGAAAGCTTGCATTTGGAGTGTAAGATTCCGGTCGTGAAGTTTACAGAAGCGAGGACATATAAGGCACCAGGCTTGCTTGTTCGAAGCACAGATGTGCTCAGTGAGGGTCAACTAGTATTAGAAGCATGCAGGCCTGGGTGGTGCAGCTTGGTCAAGGCTCCACTCACTGAACTCAAGGTGACACCACCGTTGTGAGGATGGTGCAGGACTGAACAGTATCTCGCTCTGCTGCACAAAGTTTGCTACAAGTCAGAACCAACTTGAAGGGCACCTGACGGTAACAAGTGACGGCTGCGCTCCGAGGCATCTGGAAGAAAGACGTGGCGATTTGCTTCCACAAGGTCACAGTCTTAAACCTTAGGGAAGGTAGTGTTTCTTTGACTCATGGAGTTGCCATGAGTTGGAATTGATTCTGATAGGCAACTTTTTTTCCGGGGGGAGGGGTTATTAATAGAAGTGTTGTTTTCAATACAAGGACTAGATCTAACCAATTGATACTGTCATCCAAATGGCAAAGCGTTTGTTCCTTTGTTTTTTAAGTCACATTTTCATTTTTCTTCTTCACCTGACCAAGAAAAGATTCATTGTGTTGAATGTGTTTCATCCCCAAGTGCAAACTGTTGAGGAGTTAGGAGGCACCCATGTCAGTAGCAGTAGTAATTTTGAGTTGTATAAATAAAAGCTTTTAAGACTTAAAAATAAACTACCACAAGAGTTTGTTCTTCCCCACCATTTTTAAAAATCTGTATTTACCTATCAAATTACTGCTCAGTCAAAATCTCAAGGACTTAGTCATTGATTTCTGCACTTCTAAAGAAAGCCACTAGAACAACAGAACAAGATAAAAATGAACCTTTGGTGTTAGTGCAAAGTTCAGAAGGGTTGGTTTAAAACTCCTTAATGGTGATACAGCAGATATTTGCCTATGAACCGCTGAAGTAACCCTATGTGAGTATTAAATGGAACTGCTTGGTCTAACTTTGCTTGGAGATTATATATATATATGACTTGTGACTGGGACCTCTCCAATAGAGGGCTCTATATTCTTCCATTTCTGAATAAAAACTTTTAACTTTTCAACTAAAACTTCGCTTTCTTTCTATTGTAAGATAGATTCACTGTTATCCAGCCACGTTAAGCCTGGCAAGTTGTATATGCATTTTCTTCTTCTTTTGCTTACTTTATAGCATTTTTGTTTTGTTTTTGTAGGTTTTAGGGGATGGGCAGATCAGAAAGTCAGATGGATATAACTGATATCAACACTCCAAAGCCGAAAAAGAAACAGCGATGGACCTCCCTGGAGATCAGCCTCTCGGTCCTCGTGCTGCTCCTGGCTGTCATTGCTGTGACAATGATCGCGCTCTATGCAACCTACGATGGTGAGCCCCTCCTCTACCAGTGCTCCAGTAAGAGAGTACCGTCTCCATCGCAGGCTTAGCCTTCGAACACAGTGCATCAAGGGGAGAGACACTTAAGGGTGATAGAAGATTTTATTTATAAAGTACCACCTGAAGAGGTCAACACAGTTCACTTTGGCTAAAGTGCCATGTCTTTTGTGTTTGTGCTGGGTTATGAATGTCCAAGTATATTTAGTTCACTGGTGTTATTTTAAATTCTAATGTATCATGTTATTTGATTAAAGTGTATACAGTTTTATGGCTCAGGCCAGCAACAGTCATTAGTCAATTTTGGTTGTGTCATTGAAATTTGAAAGGACTTTACAGGAATTTCAAAGATTTAATTTGACTCCTAGAATTTTTTTTCCCCACAAGAATTAGATAAAATGCATTCCTTAATGGGAAAAAAAAAAAGACTAAAGCAACTGATTATTTGGGATTGAAGAAACTTAGGTTTTTCATAGTAATTTTAATCCACCCCCATAACCGTGGAAAATGACATCATATTTACGTTTTAAGGAATAGTTTATTTCATTAGTAGCAGGTAAAAAGAACGAAATACAGGCAGAAATCAGGAAATATATATTCAAGTACTTATGCAAGTCCCGTCCTTTTTCTAGATGGCATTTGCAAGTCATCAGGCTGCATAAAATCAGGTAAGAAAATGATTTCTAAAGTTAATAGCTTGTCACATATAAAACTTGCATTCTAATAGACACATATCTATGTTTGCGTTATTTATGCTCTTACTCATTCTGAATGACTTGTTATGTGTTTGGCTCTGTATTCCAGGAAAATCAAAATGTGTATAAGTAGTTAGATTAATTAAGTTGTTTGAGTCAAAAAATAAAGGGAGTTGACGATTTTTAGAGGACTGTGTCTTTACTATATCAAGCGCACCATCTTGCTTGAAGAGGAAAACCAATACATGTGAAGCAGCATATTAGAAATGTCTGGCTACATGTCTGGGTGCGAACTGCTGGAGACGAACTGCGATCCTGAGAAGAGGGTAACATGCAGCCTGCAAGGCTGCACGGGAAATTTGATATTGGAGAGGGGGCTTCAGCAGAGGGTGGATCTGCTGAGATTCCCACAGAGGAGGGGCTTTCAAACAAGTGGAAGAACAAGAATGGGTCCTGTCATTGAGAAACAGTGAAACTATGGAGGGGTGATGGGTAGAGGGCCTGTCAAGGAAAGCCTTGAAAACCCGTGTCTAACCGTGCTGTTGTCGTAAAGAAATATTGGTATTATTACGAGCAGGAGAGGGAGAACATGTGAGTTGAAAGATGACTCTGGAAATGTGAGGCTGGGTAGACGGAGTGAGAAGAGATGAGCCAGGGAGGACAGGCAGGTGAGGAAATCAGGTGTGAGCTAGGGCCAGCCAGTGTTGGGACGAGAGCTGGGAGACCATGTGAGGGGAGAAGGGAACGGCTCAGGAGAGCTGACTGGCTAGATGAAATGAAGGCTAGCAACGAATTGAAAATGATACCAAGTTTCAACGAATGAAGGATTTAGCAGAATGATGGCAACGGATACAGAAATAGACACAAACAAACAAACTAACGCACAACATTAAAATATCCCCCAGGGAAATGAGTTAGATTTCGAGGAGAAACACGATGAATGCAAACCTGGAAGGATTGGTTTTAGTACGTGGTAGATGGACAGTAGGCATGCCGAGATGGGACAAAGAAACCAGAGTGCCAACCTTGGGCTCCTCAGCACAGGGGTGACCTTGGGAGTCTCTAGGCTATTGACTTCCCACAAGAAGAAAAGAAGAGGATCAGGAGCTGAACTTAGGAGAACAGCAAAAATTGGGATGGAAGCAAAAGAAAAGTCGGAGAAGGAAAAGGAAAACTGTATTGACGTCTGTAAGTCACATTAATACGGTGGGGTGGGGAGAAGAGCATTTGACATGGAGATAAAAAAATGATAGGTGGGCATGCCTTGTGAGAGATGGGGAGTGTATTAAGGGCTGAGGAGCTAGGAGGTAAACTGCTGGATATGAAGTTATAATAGGGCAGCTGGTAGAGGGAAAAGAGGGGACTTGGGGAGGGACAGTAACTGGCCAACTTGGGTATATAGCAACGTAGAGTCACCCTGGAAAACTCTAGGCAAGATTCTCATCCTCACAGCCCTCTAGACCAGGTGTCCTCAGACTTTTTAAACGGGGCTAGTTCACTGTCCCTCAGACCTGTTGGAGGGCCGGACTATAGTTTTAAAAAAAAACTATGAACAAACTCCTATGCGCACTGCATATATCTTACTTTGAAGTAAAAAAACAAATGGGGCAAAAACACCCAGCGGGCCAGATAAATTTCCTCAGTGGGCCACATGTGGCCCGCGGGGCCGTAGTTTGAGGACCCTTGCTCTAGACTTCTTTTTATAGGGAACAATTTAGGAAAAATAATTTTTTAAAACCCTCATTTTGTCTCTGGGAAAGTCCCTGTTATGTTGAGCAGCAAATGACTGGTGTCAGATCTGCTTCAGGCCATAGGACACCAGGCCGTAGGGGCCACAGTAACCGTGCATCAGATCTAGGGCAAAAATGCGTCAAAAAATGATACAGAATGCAAAGGGCATGTATTTAGAACAATGGACTATAACTTAGAATTCTGAGATACTTTTCATCAGCATTGTCTTTGTTATCTTTAATAGCAATTCCTCAAGTGGATGGTATTAACAAACAGAAACGTAGTCTCTCACAGTTTAGGAAGCTACAAGTCTGAATTTAGGGTGCCAGCTCTCGGGATGGCTTTCTCTGTTGGCTCTGGGGGAAGGCCCTTTGCTCCTCTCAATATCTGTGGCCCTGTTGTTCCTTTGAGATTTACATGTGTTTTGGCATCTGTTTGGTTTAGGAGTTTCTTAGCATAGGGATCAGGCTTCCAAAGGGTGCATTCCTCTCTGGTGCATGTTTGAAAGTAAGATCTGCTTGCTTATTTGATCTCCTTTATACCTTAGAAGAGATTGATTCTAGAGATAGCCTGATCCTGTAGAGTGGGATCATCTTCATTAACATAACGGTGGGTCTTCCTCATTCACATAACTGTGCTGCTGACCCTGCCTCATCAACACCATATAAGTTAGAATTTACAGCACTTAGGATGATTACATCAGATCACCAAATGGAAGACAATTGAATAAAACTAGAACCATTGTATAGTCCAGTTGACTTATATTTTGGTGGGATACAATTCAATCCATGACTATTACTTTGCTAAGGGTAGTGAATATTCAAACTCACATAAAAATGCTCAACAAAAAATGGTCAAAAATACTGTATATTGGGACAGATTGTTTCTTAAAAGAAATGTAGTTATTTGGACAGAAGATTCAAGATCTCTCATTAAAGGATGCTTGCGTCTCAGTGTGATCTGTGTGCATTTATTATGGAACACTTTCAGCATTTTGTTTCCTATCCTGATAACAACCCACACTGCAGGTTATTTTGAATTCCACACACCCTACTCTTTCACCACTAACTAGTTCACTTTGTGACTTGAAATGTCAGAAGTTCCCTTTTAAGTCCAAACTCGTGTCATTACCATGACCTAAAGCATTCATAATCTCGTCTCATCAACTATCCCATCAGTGGTCATATTTTCTAGTTGCTTTAAAATTTTTAAAATGATTGTTCATTTGAGAGCCAGTAACACCTGTCTTTTATAATTAGCTGACGTGTCTCTTAAGTCTCCTAATCTGTAGGCTTCCATTTCTCTTTCTCTCCCTTGCATCTTCCTTTGGAAGAGACTGTCATTTGATCAGGGAGACATTTGTTTGTAAAGTCTAACAACGATTTTGCCCCAGCTGCAGACTGGTTTCTCTAGTTATACCAACCCCACGGAACAAAGTGACATTCAGATTCTGGAATTTCAGATGTGAGTTATTAGCACTAGAGGATATGGCTTTTTTATAGCTTTTTGGCAATGGCTCAATCCATTAAAATGCATTTAACGAGAACCTTTTAATTAAAGCTTAGAAACAAGACACCTTACAGAATTCAGTTGGCAGTACTCTCTACATTAGAATAAGATTCCGTGGTAAACCAAGTCACTGTGCTTTTCTTTATTCTGCTCTGCAGGTTCACAAGTTGGTAGAATACTTTCATGTTTATAGTTACTACTTTTCCTGGGAGAAAATGAAGATGTTAATATCTTTATGCATATGCATGCATGCGTATGTGTGAGTGTGCTTGTGCGCGCACACACGCACAGTCCTCTGCTGCTTGGGAAATCGTTCCTGCCACAGAAAACACAGCTATTGCTTCTAGAAGCTGCTAAATAGGAAGAAAACTCTGGGAAGTCCTGAAGGGAAGAAAGCAGTAGAGAGTCAGAGAGAAGCGTGGGCCGAATGGAGCAGAAAAGAAACGACAGAAAGGTGCCGAAAAAAATGTTTCCCAACAGCTTGCCACCAAGTTTTTAGATCACCTTAACAAGCCTGAGAGAGGTTCCAACCTGAATCCTCCTCCTACTACCATGTCAAACATGTTTCTCTCTTTGATCCTTTGAAGACAAAGAATAGATGTAAAGCCAAGCCAAGGTAAAAGTGAAACATAGGCTGTGGCTTATCTTAAAATCTGCGGTTGTCAAGTTGACTCTGATTCAGGACAGAGTAGGATGGGTTCTTTGACTGGCTGAGACTGTCAAGGTGTGCCTGAAGAGACAGCCCCAGCTTTGGTGATGGAGCCCAGCTCAGCCCCAGCTCAGGTTGGAAACTGGGCCTGTGCGTTTGCAGTCCGACAGTTAACCCATAGCACCATCAGGCGATTTAAATATCCATTAAATAGATACAATGTACATGCAACAATATTCATCATAATAATAAAACCCCACTGCCCTCCAGTCAGTCCTGACTCACGGTGACCTCACGTGTGATAGCAGAGAACTGTTCCATGTGGTTTTCTCAGCCCTACTCTTGCAGGAAACAAATCCCCAAGCCTTCCTTCAGTGACACGACTGGACAGATTTGAATTTACAACTTGGGGGTTAATAGTTGAGCTCAAATATTTGCATGATGGCTCAGGGACCTCATAAACAAACCTGTTGCCATCAAGCTGATTTTAACTCGTGGAGTACGTGCTTTACAATTATCCCAAGAGTACAGCTCCCCTGTGTATAAAATGCATCAGTATGAAAAATTGTACCTCCCCCGAAAAAAAGAAAAATTATACCAAAGCAAAATACAAAAAAAAGCACAACTTAACATGTTTTAAAACAAATCTTCAAGGTACTGCTATTAAAAGTATGAGTGGTAATATTTATCTTTTATTTACCCTGTTGGAAAGTCAGAAATATACATGACAAAAGAGCTGATGTGTAATTCCTCAAATTTCCATATGCATACCTAAATTTAGCCTGGTCTCTATTCCACTGGAATTTTCCTAACTGAGTAGATTTCAAGGCATCCCAAGGTTAAAGCCAGCGATCCTTTCTCAGTATGCGTACTGTTGACCTTCTGGTTGGATCGTTCTTTGTTGCAAGGTGGCTATTGTGTGCATTGTAGAATGTTTGGTAGCACTCTGGCCTCTCTACCCACGAGGTGCCCAAGTTGCACTGTCCTTTCAGTTGTGAGAATCAAAATCTTCTCCAGTTGTTGCTAACTGTTCCCGGTGGTCACCAGTGTTTGACATGATCTGAAGAAGTCATCGAAAGCTTAA